TAAATAGCATTAGTAGACAATACAGCTAATGGCCACGTTTTTATTTCATTCATATTATATATAATATGTCAAAAAATATAGAAACTTTTCACTTTTCATCTAATCAGCAGTAAAATCAGCCATCTCAGAAAACAAAAATGAGATGATACATTAAAACAACATAAAAATTTATTAAATCCTTAATCTGAAGAGCTATTTTTATAATCTGTTTATGCAAATGATAATCAATATGATAATAAACTGTTACTAAAAAATAAAACCATTATTAATAATTTAATCTTAATTCATATAATGAGTGAAAAATGTGTAATTTTGTTTCATTTTTGCGGTTTATTTAAAATTGGAGAAGCAGAGATGTTAAGCTGGAAAATGTTTGGTAGGCGAGTTGACTCATTCTGAGGATTTGACTTGTTTTCATTTTTAACTCTCCCATGACTTTTGATTTTTTAACACTCTTCCCTTTAGCTTTTCTCATTCTGAGTTCTAAAAAGAGAATATAGAACATATAGAATCTTTATAAAGAACTTTATAGACAGCAGTAAATCTAGCCAACTTTGGAATCAAAATTTTATTTTTTTAAAATATATTTATTGGGTTTTGTTTGAACTACAGAATAAAATACATAAAGTAAATAAATACATAAAAATAAAAAAAATAAAAAGCGAACAGACAAATGGTTAAAAATGTGAAAATAAATATGTAAATAAATAATATAAATTCAAATAATAACAGTACAGAATTAAAAAATAAATCTGGTACCAAAATAGATAGGGTAGATTAAAATGACATAAAACTGAACTAAACAAATATTTAATTTGAAAATCTGTTTTTTGGAGTCTGTTTATACAAATGAAACAATAAATGAATAAACACAGTTACTATAAATAAAACAATTTTTATTAGTTACACATTAATTCTTATTAAGAATGAAAAATGTATTTTTTTTTTCTCTTATATTTGTGATTTATTTGAAGTATTGAGTATTTGAGTACTTTAGAGCTGGCACAGTATAATTATATAAAATTGATGAGCACATTAATTCAAACCTTTACCCATGTTACTACTAAAAGGCAACAACATAAAACAGTTACTGCAGCGTTAAACCAGGTTACTGCATGGTTAAACCATGGTAACCAAAAAATAATAATTACTTTGCTACTCATTCAATATATATGATTTTATACACAGTCAAGTCAAAATAACCTTTTTCAAATCAGCTTTTTTAATGTAATTGTGTCAAACCAGCTTTACAAAGACGAACATAACAAGGATAAAAAGTGATGTAACGATTTTGTAAAGCATATTAAAAATCAAGCAAATAATAGAATAATTCTAGAATATAGTTAGTTATATTATTTTTAAAAAGGCTCTAATTTGATTGGTACAATCATTATTTTCTTTCCATTAATGGTGTTTTATCATATCTAAACTATGCATCCCTCATAAATTATTTTAAAATGTTACAATTTACATTATCTTTATTGATAGAATCCTGCAACATGACTGACAGAATAAATGATGCGAGATGTGTCTGTTATATTTTTGAGCCACACCCAAACCGAAAGCTAAGTTTAGGCTACAGCAATTTCATAGGATGCTTACTTAGCATTTCTGTTACACTAACAGAACATCCAGCTTTAAAAAAATAGCCAATTACAAATAAATTTATCCTGTGATCTGTTTACTTAAGAGAGCAATGACCAGTGTTACAGTCCGTCAGCGCCATTTAGTGTTCAGCCAAACACACGCATGCACAAAGATCTTACCCGCTCATGTTCTGGTGTGTTATATCACAACCTTTATTTATAGGAAAGCAATATAACAATGTAAGTTATACTTATGAAGGATATGAAATGTAAAAGGACTTAAAACTATTATCAAATGAACATTTTGTTTCCGGCTTGAATTGAAACTGAAAGTGTTAACTTAATATAAACAAAAAGCCTATATGGCTTACCGTTCACGAGATGAAAGATCCAAAAAAGATACCGAATGTTCCTCATGCTGATGCCCTTTCTAGCTGCAACCAAACTGACTTAATACTGCAAAGGTACGACGTAGTGACGTCACAGAATGGTCTCCTATCCAACAACTGCAAATCACGTGATTTCTGCTAAAGAGGCTGTTACATCATTCTATTCTAGAGTGTTATATACTTAGATATACTAAGAATATGTTAAATATGTTGGTTTACTTAGAATATGTTAAAGGCAAACAATTTTTCACACCGAAACACTAATGCGGTCACGTCATCTGCGGTTCCGAGAGAGACGGTCACGCTATCTGTGCTTTAAATAGTAGTGCGCGTGTACTCGGTGTTTCGCGGTAAATTAAAGACGCGTGTGTTTATTTGCGCTGCAGTTTTATAATCTTGTTTCAATTTTATTTGCGTAAATGAATTCATATGAGAGATAATCAAAAATCGTCACTTTTATTCATGTCTGGATATATAATAACGACTTTGCATGTAGGCTATGCTATTATTTCTACGTTTTGCTGTAATTGTGTTTTATTTGCGAGTTTAAAACTAGTATTAAAGTCATTACCCGGCTGTCAGACTATTCACATTCCTTTTCATATTCACACTATTTAGGTGTTTACTGTGTAATTCTGACTGTTTTATTGGTTTATTTGTGTTTTTCTGTAAATATTTTTTTTTTCCTTTTTAATGTGGAATGTTGATAACTTAATGAAAAAAAATATATATATATATAAGGGTTAGGGTTAGGGTTAGAGTTTCATACTGAAATTCAAATCTTATAAAAAAGGTAGATTAATATGTGCAAAAGTATAATATCCATATTGTTTCACCAATTTTTTTTTGAAACACTGAAACATTAAGTGATATTTGCTGAGACAGTAGAGAAGTTTACTAAACATCAAAGTGATAAGTTTATTAAGTGTAAAATGAAAATTAAAAATTTATTTAATGTGTAAACAAACTATAAACTTTATATGAGGCCAGTCAGCACCAGTGGTGTAGTGGTTAGTGCGTCGACAGATGCATGCTCACGATGACCTGAGTTATTCCTGCCAAGCGGTCCTATACTGATTCTTCCCCTCTCTCTGCTCCCCATGCTTTAGAGCCTACTCACATTATGCTATCCGAACCCTGCCCAGGCCCATTTCCCGAATCGTTTGAGAAATGTGATTGCGCTTAATCGGGCTCAGGCACTCGGGCTCTGAGTGCGGTTCACTTGGGCTTTGGTGCGGTACGCTTGTAGTGTGAGTTCCAAACGCACCAAAGCCTGAAACTGAAAGCGAGACGCGACTTTTAAGGGACTGTTACATATGGATTAATTAATCATTGTTAATGTTCAGTGTACGCAAACTGCTGTAGTTTATTCAAGATGCAAACCCCTCACTGCACGACAGCTGCGCACCTTCAGCAAACCTTCTAATTCCTGCAGCACAAGGACTTTCTGGTTGTTTATGAACGTCAAAAGTGGCTGATCTGTTCAGCGAAATATTTGACTGTGTGCCACTGCATATCAAACAACTTAAACGATATCAATAAAGAAATCTCCACTGTGCTGAGCGAGAGCACTAACTGAACAGCGCAGCATCGATGACGTAAGCTTGCCCAGGCCTGAATGTAATGTGAGGGCGGCCGTCGGGGTAGACGGGAGGAGGACAAGCATGCTTTGGCCCGGTTCAAGGCAACTGTACATAGTGTGAGTACACCCTTAGTGTCAATGCTTTCTACTGTCCTATACAATAAAGGTGAAAACCCTTCTAAAAAACTGTATTTGAGGCCTGATTGTTTGGACTGTCAGAATTCTTAGAGGGGGAGAAGTGTTTAATTTAAGTTTAAGGTTAAATTTTACTTTCAACTTTTTTTCCAATTTATCTATAACAAAGAAAAGGACCAATGACCAGAGTCATTCTGAGGATTTGACTTCAAGTCAACTCTTGACTATTCTTTATATATATATATATATACATATATATATATATATATATATATATATATATATATATATATATATATATATATATATATATATATATATATATATATATATATATATATATATATATATATATATATATATATATATATATATATATATATATATAT